AGCCGTAGCAGTGTCTTGCCGACGTCCATCCTTGGAAACATATCGGAGCCATCGCTCAACACCATTGTTGGCATCGAGAGTTTGCAAGTCGTGAATCTCTGGCCAGCCGACTTGAGACACACCATTGATGAAGTCGCTCTCTGGGTTCTTGGAACGGTATGTACCGTCAGAGATGTGAACCGGGCCGTTAAAGCCGTGGTGTTCCGGGTTACCTCGGCCATGGTATGTCTCAAGCTAGACGGAATTAGCAAAGTGTCAGAATACCCCAGAGTAACTCAAAAAGCATACCTTCTTCAAAAACGGAAAGATCTCATCGGCAGACCATCCTGGTGACTTCCAAGAATCGAAATCTGCTCGCTGAGCACGTGTGTACATCATAAAATTGATCGACGAGCCTCCACCAAGCGTCCCACCGCAGGGAACGATGGACTCGCGTCCAGCCAGTTTGTCTGACTTGTTAGCCTTGTAGAACAAGGTCGTGGTGGAGGTTGGCAGCAAGTGATCCAGGAAAAAGACAGGGTTCTCAATGCTCTCGACCCCACGGTTGTCTTGCCCGCCCTCAATCAGAAGGATAGACAGATTTGGATCAGCCTCCGCCAGACGCCCGGCAACGACACATGCTGCTGTTCCGCCTAGTTCACATAATTAGCAGTGTTGGTGGGTTAGCTAGTTAGGTACAGAACAAGCGTACCTCCAGCGATGATAACGTCGACTTCGGTAATGTCGCTAGCGAGTTTAGTATATAAACCCATGGTTAAAACTGGAGGGTCCTTTCGGCAACGGGGTTATAAGGTCGGAAATGGGATTAGAAGAGGGTAGTGAGCGAGTCGTGCTTGGTGATTCAGAAAGAGAATGTCCCTCGTGAGGGGAAGTTTTATATATACCTGCAGCTCGTGTTACCATGATTATTCCTTGCGGACAGCCAGCCGCAGGACGACCCCGCGCGAGTCACCTGCAGGTCCTTCCAATATCTCAGCAACCCATCTCTGGACCCTTACAATCAGACTTTACTTGGGGTAGGACGTTTCAACCGGGGTTGTCCAGACGCCGATCTGGTCGGGTACGTTGCATTCATCTGGGGCAATCTGAGAATGGTAAGGTGAGTGCCCCATATCTCCTAACTGGAATAAGGCTGGTGGGTAGAGGCAATTAGCTCCGGGCACCGGGCCGTGTCGAGAAATGAGCATTGAGTGGCTCATGAGGATTCTTGAGACTCCACTAGCTGTGCACCTTGGGGGTTGTTAGCTCCAGCCCATGGGTCACTTGAGCGGTCCAGACGTGGGAAAGTGCTTTGTTGTTCCTTGGATGCAACTCAGAGCTTGAATTGGAAAGGGAGCAAGCTGTAGCTAGTCCTGATTTGATCGCTACCTCGGCTGCTCGGTTACTCTTTAGATCAACAGTTCAGCTCTGGAAAGAGATCAATTCAAGACTGATGACGACTCAATTGACTTGTAGCTAGTCATTGTTCGCCACTTGCGCTGTAGGATCGCACAGCTAACCATTTCTAGCTCCTTGCACTAACAATGTCTTGTGTGCAACAAGCCTCGTTGTGCAGAGTGTCTCACCGGAGCTGCTCCACGAAGCTCACCGAGCCTATGCCGAGCTAGGGCAACCCGGTCGCAGATCATGTCGGCGAAAAAACCTTAGCTGCTGGGTCCATTTGCGTTTCTCCTTCATGTCGCGCGCTTCAGAGACGAGATATCCATTATTAATTAAGTACGTTATGCTAGTGATGTTTCGTTTCTATGACTCTAGGCCTTCTAATTTCTATCATCTCCGAGCCACGTTTTGTGGCGTATGTTCTTGGCAAGCAGAGAATGTCACCGAAGTGCCGTCTCCATCATCGATACAACTCCCCTCCGCCTCCGTCAGCCCTAGTGAATCAGGCATACGAGTAAGGATCCTTCAGGTGCCTCGTTGAGGACTGCGAGCTGGCATCATCCTCGTCGTGCTTGGGCATGACTGTTACATGCGTCTGTGTGACCTTTGTGATACCCGCTGGCTGGGGTCTGTTTTCGCTGTCGGTTACCTGACCGCCTGCGTCGATGCGCACTTCCAAGTTTCTCCCCGTAGAGGAAAACATGGCGCCCTTTCCTGTGCCGCCTGTGCGATTGGAGTTACCCGACTTCTTGTTCGTGACGGCGGCTCTGACTTTGGAGCGCAGATCGGTACCAGAGGGGTATGAGCTGTGATCTCCGGTCGCACGAACAACTCGCACGATGAGTGCGGAAATATTCATCTCAATGTGAAGCTTCAGCATGTAGACAAGGGGGTGGAATTGCACGTAACTATGCGAGTCAGTCATTGAAGTCTAGCACTAGCCATTTGGAGCAGCGACTTACATGAAACCATTGCCAATGGACATGCTGCCAATGAGAATGACGTCCAGACTCATCGATATAACAATCATGATAAGATTATATCGCATCAGAGGCTGGTACTTGGTAAGACCATTGGCGATAAGCTTGATACGAATCAGGTAGACGAAGTACCCGTGCAGTGTTGCGTCGATGACCAGGAATAGACCCTTCTCAATGCGATCCCAAATGTAGTTGATGTCATGGTAGCGCTGGGAGATTTGCAGCTGAGAAGGAATCCAAATGCAAAAGACACTGATGTTGATGAGGCCAAGGGTAATGGCTGTTATCCATCGGATCTTGATGGCGTTTCGTCTGTCGACCATAAGGAGAGAAATTCGGTTGATGATGATTCCACAAATGCATTGAATTTGGACAACCCAGGCGCACACTAAGAGACCAGTCAGTTTCGTGTTCGTAGGATGTTTGAAGGATGTATCGTACGGAGAACAAAGAATATCCAGAAGCTAAGAATTGCTGGTCAGTTCTATTGCCTACCAATTTGACGAGGGCGATGACATACCTGGGAGCAATGTAACCACGTATAAAACACCACGACAAGACTCCAATCAACATCGAAGCCAACCATTCGGCCCATATCATCCAGACGTAGGCCTTAGCCCGTCCTGTGCGCTTCCACTGATCCCATGTCTGCCTTCCCGCCTTTTGGCCCGCAAAGATTCCAACAGCGAGAGTAAAGCCCCAGATGATACTGGCGACCAATTGATCGGTAGTGCTGGGCTTCACGTATACGTAGTGATCCGGTATTAAGAAACCCGCCATTGTGAGATTGAATCAGGAAATATTCTCTAGAACAAAGAGGAACAAGTAAACAGCCAAGAAAGACGTGTAGACAGGGTTGCGACAGGAAGACGGCCTTTAAGCAAGAAAAAAGAATGGCAAATCCTTGCCAAGCCCCCGAAGTAGATCGGAATCTTGCATGATGGGGTTTTTAGAGGTTCCAGAAGCCCCGGCAGTCTGATGAACAGACTGAGATGGTGAATCCATAGATCTGCTAGATGGGCAAATGAGAAGAGCGCGCAGTGGCGGACCGCCGTTCGCTAGTGTTTTTAGGTGACGATGGCGTACAAGATTATTCTGTGCTAATGGATAGGGGCTCGTTTTTGTATGGCTAACCGCCTGTTCCGCGTGGGCTGCACGTGGAAGTTCGAGTCATTACGGCGGGTTTAGTTTGGGTTTCGGTTTTGCTAGTAGGGGGCTTCTTTGCCGTGCCAAGTTGGATGAGGGCTGTGAAAAGCGTTGAGACTCTAGAGGACGGTAATTTCTTTGGAGGCTTTGATGTCATTTGCTTTGGATACGAGGTGGAGCTTGGTAATTGAGCTGATAGAGAAGATGTTGGAGACACCAGCCTGCTTGGTAGGTTGCTTCTCCAGGCTCTGTCGCAGTGTCGCATTAGAATGAACCTGATTCATTGAGAAAAACTTCGGGCAAAAGGCCAAAAGATATCTTGCAGTAGCATTGCTCCATGAATCGTAGGTTTGAAGCTCAGCGTTGCAATCCGCCAATCTCCCGAGAGCCTGGATATTCAAGAGATAGATCTGAGTAGATCATGCCTCATGTGGGTTAGTCGTCGCCACCAATCGACCATCCCTGAAGGATGAAGTGCTTAAAGTAGACAAGTCTGTCTGTGCTCAAGCTGGAGACTCACTGACTCGATCTTGTTGAGGCAAACCTCTGGCTCTGGCTCTGGCTCTGGCTCTTGAGACTACCGTATGGGTCGGCACTCTCTGCCTGTCCATATCGCGTGGCAAAATGAAGCTAATTGATGAAGATTTTCTGTTAATTTCATCAACCATGCCCCGCTCGGGATGTGGAATTCCCGTGACTTGAGAGCAAAATGATCGCTAGGCCACGGACAATTGACTTGGTCGACGACACCCATGTGACCCCGCATTAATCTTCGGTCGCAGCGTCACTTCGACGATCGAGCCCACGCAGGATGCAGGGTAGATTGAGGGGAAGGGGAAGACTCAATTGAAGCGTTGCCAACAAAACCGTCTTTTCGTAATGATGGGCCTTATCAGATCCATCTACAATCTTTCCAAGGTGGGAAAGTATCTTCCAGTGATATTTCATTCTGCATGATAAAAATGATGGTCATTTATGAAGGACGCTGCTGCTGGCTTGAGTGCTCAATCAACCTGAAACGACCACAGGGATGTAATCACAAATCTACTCCAACAAGCAGCGATGGTCGCGGAACGTTTCACCAAGGCTTCATTTATCCAACTATCCGATCTGTGATGGCTTGTTGTCTTTCTCTAGCTACTTCTATTACAATTACTTACGTGAATGTAATTTTTTGCGCAGCTGTATCCTAGATTGGTCAGCCTGCATCCGCGTCTGTCAGGCTGGTGGTGCAGAGTTGGAAACGGCCTGTGCTGAACCCGCGCGACACCAACAAACACGAAGCGCGCCACTACCGTCGCTGAAGCCACAGCCTTGGCGACAACAACTCACAGAATAGATCTTGGGGATCAATCGCTATCTCAGTGGCTCTGTGTTACTGTGCGTAGAATTGATCAAGAGACACGTCTGTAAAATCGAGAGTATCTTTTCTCAGTCTGATGCGCTATTTTCCACTACCAGATCCGACGCCCATCACTCTCACTCTCGCGCCAAATGGAACAACCCTTCACTTACTCACCCCTCCCATCAAAAGGATGGTTCAGACTGCTGAGTATCCTCCCCTCGCATGATGAATCATCCGAAATCTCCTGCGAGCTGCATCATCACGAGCTATCTACCTGCCCTCACTATGAAGCCATCTCATACACATGGGGCAATGAAGATGCGACGAAGCGACTGTTGGTAAACGGAACTGTTTTTAAAGTGCGACCAAATTTACATGCAGCGCTCAAGGCATTTCGAAAGCCTCATGAGGCAAAACTCATCTGGGTCGACGCCGTCTGTATCAATCAGCAAGATCAAGGGGAGAGGAATCGTCAAGTTCTCCAAATGAACCAAATTTACTCTCAAGCTCAAGCCGTCGACGTCTGGCTTGGGACTGCAGACACAACCTCTGACGCTGGTGTTACTTTCCTGAAGACTTTTTATACACTTGTCTTCCAGGACACAAGTCATCAACAATCTCCGTCACGCGATGCACGCACGGCCACGATTTATCCAGATTCTACGCCCTTTCACGAGTTTTATGCGCCCATTCTAAAACTTCTCGATGACCCAGAAGCACTGACGGCATTCAATCATGCCGTAACATTACTCACCAACAGCTGGTGGAGAAGAATATGGACACTGCAAGAAAGCGTCCTATGCCCCAACGTAATCTGCTGGTCTGGCTCAAAAACGTTTCCTTTCGAATACCTCTTAGGCTTGTCCCATTTCTTATATCACCTAGTGAATCATGATGCTTACAAAGGCGCACTGGCCCACAGAGACATGACTCTTGGCGCGCTGATGCTCGTCGAGTATCTGCGCAAAGACATGGTTGCTCACGGGAAAATCGGGTTGACAATGGCGCTCTACTCGACTTGGAATCGCGCGACTTCGGATCCGAGAGACAAGGTCATTGGCTTGTTGGGTATCATAGAGCCTCGCAATAGTCTCAAGCCAGAATACTCATGGCCAGTCGAGAAGGTGTATAGAGTGGCGATGAGAGCCGCGCTTGTCGAAGATGGCAACCTCAACTGCCTTGGCCTGATCTCCGAGAAAAAGGAGTCTCGAAACAAGAACCTTGCTTCTTGGGTCCCTGACTTCGAACTCCACTCCGAGCCATTCAGGGACTACATAACTTCGCTGTCCAAAGTCCTCAACAAATGGTCGATCTACAAGGCCTTTATGAGCCCAGAGGGATCTCCTCCATGCATAAAAACAGATGAGGATGACAGTGTGCTGATACTCAAGGGCTTTTGTCTTGATTCTGTCTCCATTGTCGGAACTCAAGCACCGGGCCCTGATTTTGAGAATGTTGGCGAAACAAGCCCTGGACACTGGAGGAGCTCGATGAGAGACGCGCTAAATCAATGGAGATCTTTTCTCCCACATAGCGATAGCTATGTAACAGGAGAAACTCAGGCTATGGCCTTCTGGAGAACAGTTCTAGTTGACTTAGACCAAGGCCGCCTAGCCTCAACGAAAGGGGGCCGGCCCAAAAGACTGGACGAGAATGGTCTACAGGATCTGTTGCAACTCGAAACCCCAGAGGGGATGGAAGCCTTGCTAAGCATATGGGAGTCATGCCTTCGACCGATATACCGCCAACTTCGATTGATTGAGCAGTTCAATCGGCGTTTTTTCAGGACAGAAAAGGGTTACATGGGATTAGGTCCGCCTGATATCCAACCCGGTGACGCTATCTGCCTCCTGTTGGGCGGATCTGTGGCTCATACGTTAAGGAGGAGTGAGCACGAGACCTGGATCTACATTGGCGAATGGTATGTGCCATCCTTCTATCCATTTTCGATCCCAGCTGCTAAAGTGTTGTAGCTATATCCATGGCATCATGAACGGAGAGGCCGCTGTTGGAGCAATTGAAGAAAAGACCGACTTCGCCGAGTATCGTGTTGTCTAATCAGAGGGAAATTGGCCGTGCATCGTCCACTCTATCCCAAACAGTGAGAAGAATCAGGTACGTTACGTTTTTTACAGCCCAGTAAACTTTGAAACTAGGCATATTGGTATCTCGGTCTAAGAATGGAACTTTTATTCATTTTGCTGGGGCGTATTAATAACATATGAGAGCCTAAATGCTGTCTTCCGCTGGGTTGCTGTCGGCCATCTCAGTGCCTCGCAAAGTCCACGCAGACCGTCGCCTGTATGGTTGATGGATGGGGAGACCAAAGAGGATCTTGATTTTGAGTCAAGTCAGGCAGCGAAGGCCTGCCTTATCCGTTCGAGTCTCTGCAACTCCCCCTCCAAGTCGTCAATATGACGTCGCAGCGTGTCAGCTTCCCGCTTTGCCGCATCATAAAACGTCTGATCCTGTTCCATTTGCTTTAAAAATCGGTTCATCAGGTCGTTGCAGCTTTGTTCTTCTTCTTGCAGTCGGTCTCGATACTGCTGAGCCATGTTCAACAATTGATACATTCTTGGCCGGGCATCGGCTTCCCTTTCGGTCATGGCTGTCATGAGTGAACTGATGGTTTTCTGGGCCTGCAAAACAACGTCTCCAGGGCGTCGAGAGTCGGCAAACGCTTGCATGACCCTCTGGGTATTCTCAGGGTTGCAGCGTCGCATAGTCTCCTGCCTGTTCAGGAGCATGCGTCCCAAGAAATTGACTTGGTTTTTGATGATATTAATTTTACGAAGGATGTCGATCCAATTTCGTTCATCGATTCCGACGTTCACGGGCGGTATTCGAGGGGGGTTCATGACGGATGAGTTGTCGCAAGTTCTACTTTGGGAGATAACGCGTGTCTATGCTATAGTTAGGAATGATGTAGCAAAAGGCCGCATTTGGACGACTCAACTCCACATACCTTGTCTTGTCCAGTTCAGTTCCAAAGAACTATGTAGAACCGAGGTTCCAATTGTGGTATGAGATTTGAACGCGAGACCTGTGACTGGGCGTCTTGTCTTGTGAAATCTCCTGGTAACCCGGTAGAATCTGATCAAGGATTGAGCGACGCGTCTTCTTAGTGGCAGGCAAGGCTTGAGCTCGGGCAGTGTTGAACTCAGTACGCGGAAGGGACCCGGGGAGTTTCGCCCGACAAGTTCGGCAGTGAAGAATGTGTATGTAATGGAGTTGTTGGTCGGCGCGTGAACAAGTATAGCATGAAGTAAATCGATGATGGTAAGCACTGGAGATGAAAAGTCTGAAAAGCATCGGAGATGAAGGACTCAAGAGACTTGGAGCTAAATTCGGCACGAATGCAGACGGGGCGAAAGGGAAGGAGGCTCCAAGATGTTTGCCAATCTCATTGCATGGTGTTAGGTGAAAGACGGAAGGAGGAGGAGGAGACGTGAAGTTGAAGGTACGAAGGTGCACTTGCTTGTGGCTCAGAAATGTTCATGTACTTCAATTATTGCTCACATGATGAGCTTCGAGCAATGTCTGGGAAGGACTACATCTGCAGAAGAGAAAGCATCGAGGGGAACCCATGCTCAAGAGTCAAAGCTCCCGGTACCAAGACAGCCAAGATGGCAAACCGACCACCAAAAGTACCAACACAAACAGCAGTAGTCCACGGCCTCCAGTCCACACCGAAAATTCCTCGCACCGAAACCCATTACTGTCTTGGATGCAGAATGTGATTGCAAGAAATCCACTGCTCTCCACCAAATGCGCGTCTGTGGGCAACCATTGTCTGCACTTCGAGGTTAGCCAAGGAACAAGAGGGGTCGAGGTGAAACTCACGGATCTGTATTGACGAGAGCGAGGGGTCTGATACGCCGGAAACTGAGGAGTAAGCTGCGAAAAGTCAGCTTTTCTTGATCAACGGTCAATCTGTGACGATACGTACAAATTCATCTTGGTGATTTCTTGTGGAGAAAAGAAGAAGACGAAGAAGAAGAGGAGCTGTGACGCGAATTGGGCAACATGTCTTAAGACATTGAAAAGACCATCAGCCAGGAAAGTGCTAAGCAAGAGAGATGACGAACAGATCGTCGCCTTCCTCGCCATATATCCTTCCTAACCTCGAGGGAACCTGCAGTTGGGAGCCAGAGACTTTCTGCACCTCCCTTGAAGAGTTAAACCGGAGAGCATGCTCCGGTATGCCCAAGGTGACAAGCACCTTGAGCTGGAACTCACTGAATCATAGAATCCATCGCATCATCGCGAGACGACAAAGCAACCAGCCAAGATCATGATCAGATTGATGCGAAGAGACCGACGAAATGCCCGACTTATAAGCGTTGAAAGCCTCACCATCCCACAGCGATTTCACATTGAAGTCGTGCTAGCCTGTCTCAAAAAGTTAATGAGAGAATCATTATATCTCACAAAATTCTCTGGACTCTCTGTCAACTGACGTGCATGGTCAGCTTATTTGTGACGTCACACACCTTGACCAAGCCAACGCGAAAACTTCACGCTGTAAGCTTGCTTCTGACAACACTCACACAAACGTTTGCTAACAATTCAAGGCCCAAAAACATGGAGACATCGAGACCCAAAGGTATTGAGCCCGAGAACCTCAGATTTGAGTTCCTTCTTCGTGATGTCGATGATGAGCCCTCGATTGCCGATGCACGCTCTCTCACCGAAGCTATTCGAAAATCCATCCAAACCGCCGTGAACTTTGCGGTGGTTGGCGAAGTCGGAGGTGCAACAAGGCTCCTTGAAACCCTTACGAGCAGAGGTCTCGATCCGTTTCAATACTCTGATTCGGAATATCCGTTCTTGAAGCCTTGCATGTTTTTCGCCTGGGAGGCAACATCGTCTTGGCCTTCTTGGGTGCCTGAGGAGGAACGCACAGAAGAAAAGCTTCAAGAGCTTGAGATCGACGGAAGAAAGCATTGGCTCGAGCGATTCAGTCAGGAATGGGAGGTGACGGAAGAAACTGCCGAAAAGGCCTTAGACATGGCGTATAACGGGCTGACTACGAACCTACCCGACTACAATGGAACGCTCGCCGGACAGGTCATACAGGCAGAAGCAATGACCGCCAACGGTGATTTCTCATATTCAGCGAGTCCAAACGGTCCGATGGCTATTAGATACATGAAGATAGCCATGTGGTGGCGTCAAGGCATTTTCCCTTACCCATTTGTTCAGCTGTACCGCACCGGTGGGTTGATGATTGCCCTGGATATATACCTACGTCTTGGCAAAGACGAAAATGCTCGGGAGCTATTTATGAAAGTTTGTGATCGTTTTCACACGGAAGAACAAGTTGAGCAGCTCTCCTGCTCTCGAGCGGCGTGGAAGCAGATCCTTGCTGCTCCCGAGCGGCCCCTTCTGGACTTTCTCAACATCCACGCAGCCAAGATCCGGCCAGCCGTAACTCGTGCCTGTCAGGTGGTCGAGAACCGTCTACAGAATGGACCGAGGCGTCGATATGCAGGCCAGTCTATTGAGAAGCTGGTCCATATCATCAGCCAGAATACGTTCATAAACTGCCCCTACGACAGGTTGGATGCCTATCGTCCGCATGGCAACCCCCGGAATCGACCCCAGCATGCGAATGGTCTACTTAGACGGGGATGTACACTTTCAGGTATACGAGCTCTGGAGGAGCGACTGGGCGTGACTCTTCCTGAAGACTATAAAAAGTTCCTCAGCATCACTAATGGTCTTGATTCAGTGTGGGATGGCCAGAATCTCGTAGACTACCTGGCTGGTGCCCAGGAGGTCAATTGGCAAGAGATCGACTTTCTCGAAGGCAATGAACTTCCTCTATTGAATGACGGCGAGCCACTAGCATGGATGAAGAACATCCTGGAATGGCCAAAGATCGAAAAGCCTCGGTGTATCTGTCTCTCGGGCGATATTAACCACGAAGAAAAGGCTGGTCATTTCTTCCTCATAGGTCAGAATCTCCTTCAGCCAGCTAAAGATTATTTCTTCAAGACATATGAGGAAAGGAATGACACCCAACGCCGTGAGCTTGACCGACTTGTTCAAGAGACATACGGGAGCATGGAAACTTTCAGGAATCTCGAATGGGCACTGATTAGTTGGACTGCATGGGACTTCACTGTTTACCCGTATAATGGACTGCGAGATTTCTTGGAACAGATGGCTGAGGCGTCTTTGCGGCAGGAGAGGCCTTGGCTGAATATGTTTGAGCCGAGATTTAGGAAGATGGCAAATGCGTGAGTCTGAGAAGTCAATCTCAGCTTCGGATAGGAGCGAACTACCTCTATGAAGCAAACCCGCAGGATGCCGGGCAGATCCCCATGGACTCCTGTGGCCTGATCATGGATACCTCGACCGTAACCTTGGCTCAAAGTCAACAGAACCTAGCTCTGGATTTAAAAAGGAAAATGGGTTCCAGTTTGCTTGAGATACGTCTTGATGTGATATCCACAAGGGTATGACTTTTAACAGAGGATGTGTGATGCTATGATAGCAAAATTATAGGTGCTCGCCAAATAGCTTCGTCTCATATCCCACTTAATCTTAATCATATTGCAGTGAATCAGACACCCGCAAAAGGTATAAATATCGAACCATTCATTTGCAGAACCTTTCCCATCCCAAACAAACACCTCAAGATCAATAAATCTCTTTCAAATCGAAGCCAAATAATAGTTCAGCATATAGAAACCACCTTTGGCCCGTTAGAAATGTGTATCAAGGTGCAAAGAAAGTATTCCTGCAGAAAATGCTACCTTCACCTCAAGGATGAATGGGACGACATTGCCTGTGCTAAGGCGAGGGAGAAGGGTGGTGCCATCGGCGCTTGCGGGAACCCGGTGTCAGTCCAGAGGAAGGAGATAGAATCCATATGTGACGAGTGCTTGAAGAAGCAGAAGAAGAAGCGAGGTTATTAAGGGCAAGCGTGAGTAAGGATATCATGGTCCAGCTGTAAACCTCTATAGTCTAGTTGTCACCGAGCACTGACGTCCTCGCTACACATAAACACATCGAATAGCACTGATAGCTAGTTCCCTACTTCTTTTATCCCGTGACTCGTGCATCTCTAGTATCATGAATAACATTTGGTACTAATACGAGGTCAGGTCGAGAGCTGCACATTTTGGATGATGGCAGCCACTTTATTCATTAACGTGCTTTGTGTCAGCGTGGGGGAAGTTATAATCGCGACGAAATGATGTTTTGCTCACCGATCAAAGGTCATTCAGCGTCGTGGTTCATCTGTGATTCACTATGCATAGTTTTTATTGTGAAACGTAATCCTACCAACACAATACGGCTTATCCTACGTTAAGCACGTCATCACGCCGCACAGCATCACAACAAGACAGAAGGACATGAGGGTGAACGGAAAACAGGTCATCAACCCTGCCCCATATTCCAGACGTCTAGATACCAATCTAAAGACAACCGCCAACACAATGATATTGACCTATCCAAGCTGCGCTGATGCCACCGGTTTTGGCTGACCCAGAATCACATCAATGACTTTATGGTCATCATAAGTGGCAACAGTTCGCTCACACAAAGCTGCGACACGCTCCTTGCTTTGTAGCCCATCTGGGCAAATGAGCCAGATTACATTGGTCATGAATGACCGCTTGTACTCAAGCATAACCTCAGGGTCGTTATGCCGGTCAAACTTGGGACCTCCAAGTTTGTGAAGTGTCTCAAGATAGTGATCCAATATCTCCAGCTCATGGGCCCTGCGATCTTCCACGCTGAGCATGGCCGTCATGTGATACACGACATCATGGAAGCATGAACCAAAGTGGAAAGCTGACCAGTCTAGGAAGCCGATGCGGTTATCAGCTGTGAAATAGATGTTTCCGATGTGAGTATCCCCATGCAGCAGGGTTCGGAAACGTGAGTTTCGCTCAGCGTAGTAGCGATCTAAGGCTTCGTTACATCGAGCCCCGTCCATTAGATACTCCGGGAGCTGGGGGCGGCCGGGTCTTCTAACCACTTCATCCCACGATCTGCACATGAATGTCATGGCAGGATCGTAGTTGTTCCAGATCCCTGTAAGATTGTGAGACATTGGTAACGGAAATATTCACAAAGGTTCTTACATGGATGGTCCTCCTGACTCTGGCCCCAGTACTGAGCATGCAGACCTGCCAGCTGCTCAACACCATTCTTGACTTTATCAACCGAATATGAAGCAACTTCAGCCGGAAAAGTGCAACCTTCGCTGACAAGATCGTTCATGATCGCAATTCCCTGCTTCTCGTCTGTTCCACTCCACCAGCCTCTTGGAAAGATCATATGGCTGACGTTCGGAGCAACCTTACTGAAGAACTCTGCTTCTCGTTGGGCCAGACTGACGGTCCATGGCTGAGCCTCGATCATCTTGGGATCAAACACTCCCTTAACGCAGATATTGACCGGCCTTTCTTGATCTGTTTCATTTTCGTAGGTAATTGTGTAGAATAGCTTACTTGCGGTTCCCCAGATGTTACGTGTATTCTCTATTGATTTGATCTTGTGCCCAAGCTTCGCACTGAACCACTGGGGAGTCAGATCAGAGGGGAGGGTGGGGAGTTGCTCGGGCGTTGATTCAGACATGGCTGCAAATATTTCCAGTTTCTTACGTTCACTGCTTGTTTCGTATCGGTGCTGGCTTATAAGGCAGTCAGCATCTGACTCTCACTCCTGCAACCTCTTTTATCCGGATCATCAGCCAAGAGAGGGGTGTCAGCATTGATTACGTACATGCATCCGAATACTAACAAGTGCTTATTGAGAAGTGAGTTATTATCGCCAACAAGAGCAATAGATGGAGAATTTATCCTGCCAAGAAGCTTGACTGGATAGGTGTCCTGAACACGGTTTGTCAGTGTAAGAGCGGAAGTTAGAGACTGCAACAAAACAACTCAACCTTGTTACGGAAGAAGCTAAGCTCACCGAGAAATTCGGTCTTGAACCAATGCGCGGATTTCCCGGGTCCGGGTCTTTTGCAGAGTGGCATCAAGAGTGGATTGCGCTCGGGCTGTGACCCATGGCAAGCCAAGCAGATTCACTACGCACCCAATGAGATGACAACTACTAAGAAGCTCAGATTTACCAATGTCTCAAGTGCATCACTGAAAGGGCAACTATTTTTAGGGAGTCTAACGATCAGAAATAAATACTCCGCTGCAGCATTATACTCCGGCGATAGTGACAAGGGGATGCGACTCGGAGCTCGAGATGCGGTTTCAGATCGGTTGATCTTATCGTAGATATATGAAACCATCGAAACAGTCAAAATGGACTAGCATAGATAAGAAGTTTCTTAATTAGGAAACGGAGAGATTCAAATTCAGATATGATATCAATTTAAAGATGAAACTAACTAACGAGTGAATATTAAAGCCCTGCTATAGAAACGGTTGGTTGTGATGCACGAGACAAGGGGTAGTGAATGGGAAACGACAGTATATGCGAGTAGTAGTGTAAAACATTTTTATGTTCCTTTATGCAATTTAGAAGTCTAGTTATGCTGCGCTGAAATGATCGACTCAGTGATCCTCGACATCCTCATCCCGTCCTGGGTACATGATGTCTTGGGAGAAGACAGCCCTAACGTGGCTGTAGAAAATGAAAACAAAAGCGGAGAGAATGATGACGCTCATTCCAGTGGCGACCCATCCGATGGCCTTGCTGCCAAGGGATCTGGCGATAGAGATAGTAGCGAGAGTAAAACCAGTATTGGGGAAAACCATAGCCCACCATCCGAGGTGAAAGTACTTAGGGGGAGACTGAATAACAGCAACAGCCGCGATGCCAAACCACCACAAACTCAAAGCCCAAAGGAAGATGGCGCTCATAGTAGCTATCAACCGAACCATTCCGACATTGATAAATGTTCCATCTTGGATGAAGTCGATGTCTTCAGGCAACCCTTCAGCCATGCCTATCAAAGCCAGGGCAGTGAATGCAGGTGGCCCAACACACATGAAAAGGCCTGGGCGATGTTCTCTGTTAGGTAGGCCTGCTTGCATCAGGCGCCCAATCATATGAGCATACATCATAACGGCAACGCTGAGTCCAAGGCCTTGGCAGGTTAGTCCTGCGACAATGATCGGTACTGCAGCAACGTGAGGCTGAGTCTCAGCGATGACAGATGCGATGGTGCCCGAAAGCATGATAGGAAAGATGGGCAAAATCCAAGTGGGCATCATAGTGGTGAGAGAAAAGCTATGAGCGGCAAATACATAGCTGTACTGTCCTATAGATAGGATCAGGGTGACGACAAGGTAGCCCCAGAAAGTTGCCTGGACAGCCCAAACCAGGTTTGAATTGTCCTTCGGTATCGCATACCGATCGGTACTGGTAATGATAGTGGCTATAGATAAGAAAAAGGTAGGCAGGAAGAAACCTTCTCGTGGATGTGTCATGGACTTGGCAAATGACCCTGGGTGAAGGAAGAACCGTGACGCCATCGCCGTGGTCACACAAGTAAATATTATGAGGTTGATGATATAAATAACCAGACCAATAGTCTTGAGACCTGGAAATTGGTTCGGTTGAGCGAAGAAGAGAAGTGATAGACCGCCAGTACTCATGGGCAGTGTATACCAGGCCCAGGTGAAATGCTTCATGCGTTGACGCAAGCCAAGTTTAGGTCGGTTCGGGTCGTAAATGTCGAATGAAGGATGTTGGTTTGCATCCTTGATGTGCGTCGGTGTTGATGTGCCGGACTCGATATCGGTTGAGGCTCCGGACATGAGATCTGATGGTGAGTTTGGTCGATGTGACTCACGATGGTTGCGTTGAGTGGAGAGGTTGTCGAGGTTGTAACTGTCGCGATCCATGTTGGGTTCATGTATCCTCGTATCGTGATGCGCCATGGTAATGCAGAAATATTTTGTGTGAACTAAGCTGAAAGAGAGATGGAAGGAAAAGCGAAGAGAGTCCCACTGATGTATGTAGTCGCCGACTCCTACTTAAGAGTTCCAAACTAGAGCTGAGGCGTTCTGCTGTTGTTCCAGCCAGAGCGGTAGATATTCAGGGGCTTGGCACTAGGTATAAATATTCGTCAACGGCGATAAGAGCCCAAGCACTATCGCCATCGTCTCGGCACTTTTGCAATTGTCATTACGAATCTCACATGCCTGCACTTTACTGGATACCAGATCTTCATTACTCGTTTCTTAGACGTGACACGCAAACTAGACTAATTTTAGTGACGGGCGCGACAACGGGTAACGTCTGAGCCGCACAACGTAGCAAGGCTGCTGGCCAACGAAGTCTCGTGTATAAGATATGAGACCCAAAACGTTGGGATAGCTCCTGAGCTGTCCCTTGCTGTATATCAGTGCGATCGTCTTGAAGATCAACGGTGAGCCAATAGATATGCCCTGCACGTCCCGCTTTGGTCGTCGTACTCGTCACCTGACTCGTACAAATGCTAATGAGGCTTAAGCTTAACCTTGTCGGTGGAGAAAATGGAATGAGAGCCGCTGGATCCCATTGGGTGTAGATATCGAACACTTGGACGTGAGCAGGGAGTGTAGATTGCGGCCTAAATTAGTATTGAAGGGTTTGAGGTCGCGTTTGAAGATCGTCCTCAAACTTGTTTCGATAGGGGGGCTGTGGTATTGGTTGCGGCTCTTACGGGATCGTGTTCACCTGCGATCTGTCGCGTTTCATTTCGTATGCGAGATAAGTAGACTGCCGTCTTGGTCAACAGATCGTCGCAAATGATGGCATTTGGCGTTGTCGATGGTGGCTTGGAGACACGGCAGAGGCGCTCAACATCCCTGCAATGGATGCCACGTCGCAGGCGGCTCAAAATTCCCAAGACTTTTAAGCCACGCTGGGCATTCTTTTGAGTTTCGGGCGTACCGGGCAGATCAATAGAACATTCCACGGACGTAAAAACTCTTTCACATGCTGCAAACATATTGAAAACTCCATGGAGTCGGCGATAAACAGCCCCGGCTCGCGTTAATTGGGAACTGTACCGGGTTTCACGTCCCGCGTTCAGACCGTCCCGGGGCTCCAGTCGGTCTCCAGTATCTCTATATTTAAGTTTAAATAAATAGAGGCCCGCGGACTGTATTCAGCAGGTGCTTGGGCGCTTCGGAGTCGCCATGTATCACATTGAAGTTCTCCACCGAATATCGACATAAAGTGTTTCGCGATAACGGAAAAGTCCGGAACTTTTGCACCGAGGGCACGTTTCTGCCTTGCTATTTGCAGTGCTGTTTCGACTTGTTTGATCGCCAAGACACCAATTTGTTTGACCGCGAATCCACCAATCACACCGGAAGCGTCATAGAATTCTGGTCTGTGATAAAACAACACCTTACAAAAATAGCAGAAAAAACATCATTTTCACAAGATCATAAGTATTCAGTGGCTCCGGCCATCACCCTCAACCGCTGCACTACCCAGTAGCGTCAAAATCGACCTCTTCACCCTGGCCATTTCTGGCGACACGTTCCTTCGCGATGGCCGCCATCTTCAAGACAGCCGTGCTATCAGCGAACTCTATGACCCTGCTTATCTTCGTACCGTCTCCAGTAAGATAGAAAATCCAAGAAAACTCTAGATGTAGAGTCTCGCCATGATGGTAGATCATGTCTCCACTGCTTTCAACTGCCGCGCGCCGGGCCTCAACGTCGATCGTCAAGTGCTTTGACACGGTGTTGTGAACGCCGCCAAGAGAAAGATCGTCGGCGTAGAGCTTCTCGTAGATATCATTGGACATTAGAAACTTTTCCGGAAGGCCGAGCGCCTTGCACAGTGAAGCGGGAAGAAGTTGGCGAGTGCATTCTGGAGTAACATCGCGGTTGATGACGGTCGGATCCTTGGTTTTTCTCCCGTCCTCGTAGCTCGCGAGGAAGCTATTCACCGTAGTTTCGATTTGCTTCCTAAGGTCTGAGTTGGCAGACATTGTGATGATAAAGTTCTGTAGCTTCAGTCAATGCACAAGCGGTGAAAAGGAGAATGTCAAGTCAGAAAGAAGAGAGAGTCCGGCCGTTGCCCCTCAGGTATATCACTTCTAGTTGCTCACATAAGCTGACGACAATGGTGGTCAGATCAAGTTGAATCCTACTTCAGAAACATTTCCCGGCCCGCGCGGTTACTCTAATACGAAGGGAAAAAGATATTAGGCATGGGCAAAAGCCTTGACCTTCGCTCTGGCTTTCATGATGGAGATCTCTTCCTCGGGGTGATGTGTCCTTGTCCGCGTCGCCTAGTATCTATAACCGATAAAACAATGTCTACCAATTATACTAGGGCCTTATCGACTGCCATTTCCTTTATAATATATAGTTAAAGGGCACGAATTGTTTAAAGCCAGATCTTGGTACTTTGTAGCAAAGGTGACTGTTGTTTAATTAATACTTTTAATGGCCAGATGTTGAGTACCGGGTAATTCGAGTCTTGAGGACGTCAGCCCCTGCCAATGCTGAGTCATCGTAGCTAATCACTTGGATTGAGCACTGATATACGTACGAGCATCCTTTTAAGGAACATCTCTCTCGCTATTAGCAGAGACTGCGTGTTCATGATGCAAGCCACGAATGATCCTGAATCGGCATTGTTTCTTGTCATTATGTTCCACAAAAACAGTCCCATGACGCCAAAAATATTAGCTTTGTCAAACCTACAAACCCTCATCATCAATATTGATCTTGTCTGTGATGAGTTGACGATCTGGACATTTGGCTGTGTTGAAGCCTCTTCACTTTTATATGGTCGGAATACTTCTCGAATGACTTCTGCCCCATGAAACTGAAACTGAAAGATGATTCAGCTGCAGTTTCTATGTCCAGTAGCAAATCTAGAGCGTCTGAAATCACATGATCTCTGATTCACAGAGTTTCTTCAGATATATAATGGTCGAAGACATTTATCGATCTCAGATCCTTGGTCTTCTGCAACATATATGCATGTAAGAGAACGGAAGAGACAACCCAGCCAAACCAAATCCAATTCTGCCAGAAGAATCAAGTAGGTAATCACCAGCTAGCACGAAGATCATGCTCATCATGGGAGCCTTCAACCCAAACAATGTTCCCACGTGGACGCACTATATCTCTAAACACCTGATCATCACTAATGAGACGTTTTTTGATGGCCTTGAATGGATCTACGGGAAAAAGGCTGATGGGACGCCAAACTACGGATGGAAAGATGAGGGAGACAAGTTCAAGGTTACAGTCTTCACAGAAGAACCAAAGGATTTGAAGGAGAGGTTACAGACCATCGGACAGATTGAAAAAGACTAATCCTCCTCGGGATGCGTTATATTGGCCGCAGTTGAATTAAGAGTTATGTTTCTTCGAGAAACTCAGATTCAGTCGAGAAGGAAAACCTGGTAGGAATAACACTGAATATGAATTTGGCCTAAGCTACGAGAAAAGCTTACTCAAGGAAGCGTTCTCTTTGTAGTGAGAAACCAGTTTCGGTGTCATAGTAGGTACACTGTAGACACTACAGTATAAAATTAAAGAAATTTGAAGAGACTATTGTATAGGTACATGGAAGTCGTAGTATGACTTTTCTGCCCAAGTTCGGCGAACATCGCCCAGTATCTACCATCGAGGGATCTTCTCTGAGAAGTCTGGTTGAAATCTCTTCATATACGTAGTATCATCACGCTTCTTCAACCCACAGTCCAGGTACTGTTGATGAAGATTTGCCAACCTCTCTCTGTCTAACTCAATGCCCAGACCTGGCACCGTCGGCACAACAACACCACCATCCTTCCACTTCAATGCGCCGTCAACAACAACGTCTTCATCTCGGCGCTTCCAAGGCCAGTGCGTGTCGCAGGCATAATCCAGGTTTGGTGTTGCGGAAGCAAGATGCGTCATGGCGGCGAGTGAGATGCCCAAGTGACTGTTGGAATGCATTGAGAGGCGCAGACCCCAAGTCGCACAGATGGATGCTAGTGTTTGTGACTTACGAAGGCCTCCCCAGAAGTGATGATCAGATAAGATGACTTGTACAGCGTTCTGGAGAATTGAAGGTGGTAGATGGTCGAAAGCGACGACTGCCATGTTGGTAGCTAGGGGCATCGATGCTTCTTTAGCAACAGCAGCCATTCCCTCGATCTCCCCAGCTGGATCTTCCAAGTACTCAACAATACCGTCAAGCTCTTTTGCAACCCATTTTGAAGTCTCAACAGTCCAGGCAGCGTTTGGATCAAGTCTCAGCGGCAGATCAGGAAAGGCTTCATGGAGAGCTTTGATCGCGGCGACTTCCTCTGCAGGAGGAAAGACACCCCCTTTGAGCTTGATGGCCTTGAAGCCATACTCGTCAATGATCTTCTTGGCCTGCTTCACCACTCCTTGCGGGTCTAGAGCAGGGCCGTATTCATCATCTTCGTGACCAGGATGTCCGCCCCATTTGTAGAAGAGGTAGGCTGAGTATTGGACTTGGTCTCTCACACGCCCACCGAGAAGGTCACTGACAGATATTCCAGCCAATTTGCCTTGTAAGTCGAGACATGCGACTTCGAAAGGCGAGAAGACCTTGTCGGCGACTGAGGCGGTGGTCACCATGCCTCCCATGCCATCTCCACCTGTATTGGTGTCTGTCTTGAGCGACTCAACACATTTTTGGTAGATGACGTTTGTGCTGTAGATAGAAAGGCCTTTGATACTATCCGCTGCTTTTTGCAAGCGGTTTAGATGTGCTGAATCTCCATATGATTCACCAAGACCATATGAGTCTTCTGTGATGATCTCGATGATGCTGCGTAAGGCATATGGCTCATGTACACCCACGCTGTTCAGCAGGGGCATATCATGGAAGGCCACAGGGGTGATGACAATGTCTTTGATGATGCTTCGTTGAGCCATGACTGTGATTCTGTGTGTATTCTGTGATTGTTGAGTCTACTGATAGCAACTGCATTGTTTGAGTGGTGGACTATTTATCCCGGGATTGTACATGGTTGAGCTGTCATGTCATAGCTGTTTGCGGGGTAAACATCGTTTCCTTTGAATAACCATCATGGGTATCATGCGTGGTTACTTGGTGTAGTGCTCCATGAGTTGTGATCATTTCCGGATCAAGAGGATAAGGCACATCGGACATGTTTCCTTGAGAGATTGATGTGGCTGGTCACAGATCCGTCACGGATAATGTCTTCAGTGGGTGCTTTTCCGCTAATGAGCACTTCCGTCGATCCCCCAGGAGATGGCGTTGGGCGTTGGGGGTGATATTTTCCGTGCAATGAGACCATCAGAAATCATACCCCGCACTTGGCAAGCATGGGCGCTCCGCTTTGGGTGTCGCCAAGCCTGGGGTTACACTGGCTTTCGTCTGGGGAAGTGTGGGGCACCCGCTTGAGCTAATCTGTGCAATCAATGACCTCCTCTCTTTTCCAGATCGTGGTCTCGACTATAATACCCAGCCTGCTTCAGCATTTCCAAGGCTCGGTCATTCAGCATCACAACTCTTGAGGTTCAAGTCCTCTCATTTATCACCCGTGTTCGCAGCCTAAAGCGTAATCTTATAGGCGGCAGTCCCAGAGTAGCAACACGTTCATCATGGCTCCTCGAAGTTCAATCTCCAAGAGCGACATTGAGGTTGGCGACCATAAGCCCGACCATCTCGAAAACACCTCCGAAGCCATCGAAATTGCCGGTTTTCGCGTCTTTGGTTTGAGCCCTGAAGATGCCGACTTCTACAATAGCTACACAGAGGAGCAGAAGAAGAAGGTCTTCCGTAAGGTTGATGTTCGACTTGTCCCGATGCTCGCTCTGCTCTATTTGATATGCCATATCGATCGCGCCAATATTGGCAATGCGAAGATTGAGGGCATGGTCGAGGATTTGGGAATGACAGGTGAGTCTCCTGTGTGTTGAGGCGAAGAAGTTTGTTGACATCTTGACCTTATCACAGGTGTTCAGTACAACACCATCCTGTCAATCTGTAAGTTACGACAGCACTTGCCGATTCGATCACTGTGAACTAAATTTTGATAGTTTTTGTACCTTACGTCCTTCTTGAAGTCCCTAGCAATATTCTTCTGAAGAAGTTCAAGCGCCCATCGATGTATCTTGGTATTCTCTGCGTCTGCTGGGGTATCGTCATGACTTGCACCGGACTTGTCCAAAATTTCGGTGGACTCATGGCTACTCGAGTTCTTCTGGGTATTTTTGAGTGAGTAAAGTGATCATTTGGACCCGATGTACTGGTGCTGATACTGACGCCTTGATTCAGGGCCGGATTCTTCCCTGGTGCTATCTACCTGTGCAGGTAAGTTCAACAACCAGATGTCGACACAAAAGAAAAACGATATTCTAACAGCTTAATAGTTACTGGTACCTTCCGAAGGATCTCAGCGTGAGAATTTCTTATTTTTATTGTGCCAGTGCCTTATCTGGTGCCTTTTCTGGTCTCCTCGCAGCTGGAATCGCTGAGATGGATGGTATCGCCGGTCTCGAAGGTTGGAGATGGATCTTCCTTCTCGAAGGAATGGCTACAGTTGTTCTCGGTGTTGCCTGCTTCTTCCTCCTTATCGATACCCCTGCTCTGTCTACGCGATGGTTGAACCCCGAGGAGATCCGATTCCTTGAGCTCTCCATGTTCATCAAGCAAGGAGGAGGCTTCCAAGAGGAATCGACAGTGAGATGGAAAGATATTCGAATGGTGCTCACAAACTGGAGAGTCTACGTCCAGGCTTATTTCCTTTTGTGCCAGTCTGCTCTCTCTTACGGTACCAAGTTCACCCTGCCAAGCATCACCAAGGCCATGGGATTCAGCAACACGAACGCTCAGCTTACCTCGGCTCCTCCTTACGTCGCCGCTGCTATTTCTGCCATTGTTTTTGCCAAGATCTCTGACCGATTCTTCTGGCGTATGCCCTTCGTCGCCATCCCTATGGTTATCGTCACAGTTGCATACTCGATCATGATTTCTCTCAATGGGCAACTCGAAGCTAAGAAGGGCGTTGCTTACTTTGCTGTTGTTCTCGCTGTCATTGGTATTTATCCCATTCAAGCCGCCGCTGCCTCGTGGAACGCCAACAACATCGCCCCTTCATCTCGACGTGCCATTGGTATCGCTCTGATGAACTGTGTCGGCAACGTTGGTGGAATCGTCGGTAGTTTTATGTATCTTGAGAAGGAGAAGCCCAAGTATTACACTGGATTTGGTTTGTCGCTTGCTTTCGGAGGTACTGGCTTGATCGTTGCTTTCCTCCTGGAGTGGAGCTACAAGATCGCCAACGCTCGCAAGGCCAAGATTGCCGAGGAGGCTAAGAGGAAATACACTGAGGAGGAGCTGTTTGACATGGGAGACAGGTCGCCACTGTTCAAGCATGTACTCTAGACAGTGGGCTGCGTGGATGGACTGTGGAGTGGATACGAACACTGGTGATAGTGGTTCGAATCACTTTCTTGTGTGAGCGTTTCGAAGTCAGTGGTGGGAAACATAGTTGGATTATGATATTATGAAGGATACAAACGAGTACTATACTTAATTAAAGATAAGGAAGCCTTCCAAATGATATGCGCCTATCATACATAAACCACATGGAACAATGTAGCCAAACGTCCTTAACCATCAAGGGCACATACTCCATTCTGGCAGACGCAAACACCGGGAAGAACACACAGATCCAAATTCGCCACGCAATCGGAAGGACCTCCGCATTGAACCTGATCGACACAGAGACCCTGCTGGCAAGTAGCGCCAGCTGAACACCCATTATTTGACTGGCAGAGTTGCAGATCAGACCGTGGTGTGCATTCATTCGTCGATTGGGGGCATTCGCAGAGTCCTATAGTACAAATAGGGTTGACAGATAAGAGGCAGTCGTTTATGTCAACGCAGGAGTCTGGTTGCTTTGAAGCGACATGACAGAAACCAGAGTCGGAGCAGGTTTGGCCGGGGATAGTACAGTCGCTGTTATCGGAGCATGGAGAGCCCTGACTATTGTCAGGAACACAAGTGCCGGCATCGCAGATGGGTTTGGCCCCGCCGTAAAGAGCCTCGCATTCGGCATTTAAAAAGCACTCGTCCGGCACAGCAGCTGCAGTGGTGGTTGTCGTAGCTGGGGCTGTCGTCGTGGTGTCATCGAAAACCTCGGTAGTCGTAGTGATCGACAGCAAGGTCGTGGTGCCATCGCTTAGAGTTACGGAAGTTGAGATGTCCTCGGAGATAGAGGTTGTTTCAGTTGTGGCGGCAGAAGACCCAACGGTGAATGTAATCTCGACGGCTGTTGTGGTGGTGGTGTCTTGAACAACCTGGGTAGTTGTGGTGCCATCGGCCAATGTCTCAGACGACGAGACAGCATCAGAAATAGTTGTCGTTTGCGTTGTAATGACAGAATGCTCAGCCGTGGTGGACAGAGTAAGCGTGGTCTCTGAGCTGCTTGACATAGCGCTCTCAGTGGTCGAGACAGATGAGGGACGACATGGCCCAGCGTTAACGTTGTGGATAGCCAAAACAGCCAACGCGCTGGCAAGAAATGATGACGAAACCATGTTTAAAAAGCGAATGACTTAGGTGAGTTACAAAATGAGCGATAATTGATGTTACGGTCTAGGGAAAGGTTTGGGAACTGTAAGAGTTTTAATGCTCCCCTATCCCGTCTTGTTTTCTTTTTGTCGATAAATTGGTGGCGATGTAAGCTTATACTCTAGTGGGCGTTAGCAGGTCTTTGGGGCTGATCAACGAGCCTAGAACGCGGATGGCCATGCATGAGGTGCTTTATCGCAGAAATACCAAAGACGTCATGATATGGACTTTTAAATGCCCCAAAGAAATCGCTATAGTTGGGGCATTGTCGTTTAGAAATGTTGGTTTGATTGAGGCAATGGAACTTTTCGCAAGTGGTACTGATGCAATGGACTTTGTGCTGTCAAACAGCAAGCTTACCCCTGTGAGCTGGCAGATCGAGGCGCTGAGACCGCTGATGGTTTTGAGCGCTAATGCCAATAGCTCGAGCTTAGGCGCATACGAAAATACAGACAGAGTCATCCCTTTCAAACGAAATATTTATTCAAGTTAACCAATACCGTTCTCGCAAAAGTCTCGCAAAAGAATTTTGCCTTTTGGCGCTCCAGATATGCGAGGATTGGTTAAATCAAGAATCATTGCTGCTGCATTAGCATAGAGGCACCTCTGGCACCCAAAGTGGGCATTGACACCAGGCCGGCAGGATACCTTTACCAAGCTAGGGCACCTCACAGGCACCTAGGCCACTGTAGTATCCTGGGGCAATCCATTAGACCCACCAAACTCTACTACGGCACTGGCGCGTCTGTCGGATCGGATTCGACACTGAGAAACGTCACCGGTATCGAGATAATTAGTGAACATACATATTGCTTGTCTGTTGCGGGCTGTATTGAATCAATGTTCAATCGTAGAATATTTATGCTATTTAACTTGTATATAGGTGCTTTAATGCACCGCCACGCCGTTTGATGTTCCATTCATGATCCCATTCGATACTCCATTCGTTACGCCGTTGGATTTGCCTTTCTCAGCCGGTAGCTTGAGCGTGGCTTCAAACTCCAACATTTCAGAAATTTGTGACTCAATACTCTTCTTTGCAGCATCCGTAGGCTCCACGTATGGCCTTCTGGGCTTCAACTTCCCTGCAGCGCCCTTGATACCAGCGGCCTTGGCTGTGCTCAGAGTTGCTGCGTACTTGACTGATGCAATTCCAGCCTTGCAAGGCTGCTCAGCCAGCGCCGCCTTCTTGTGCAGAGCCATGGCCTCTTGGAACTTGCCCTCTTGGTAGAGGTTATAGATATGCACGATCGTCTTGGGGACAACGTTGGCAAAACCTGCAATCGTGCCATGAGACCCAGCAGCCAGGCCTCCTATCAAGAAGTCTGATTGGCCACCGTAGATTGCAAAACGTTCCTCGGGAAGCTCTGCAGAAAGTCGCGTTATCTTTGCGACAGCTCCGCAAGTCAGCTTGACGCCGACAATATTGCTATGCTTCTTTGCTAAAGCGGCAATGGTGGCAGAATCCAGGTCGATACCGTTACAAACGACGGGGAAGTTGTAAATGACGATAGGTAGTTGACTGCTTTTTGCAACATCGTCAAAGAAGTTGTTAATGACCTCTGGTGTTGTCTGCTTCCCAAAGTAGGCCGGAGGAAGCAGCAGGACATAGTTGGCTCCAGCATCAGCTGCGTCGTTGATGAACTCCAAGACCTGCTTGGTTGAATGTCCACCAACGCCGGCCATGATAGGGAATGATGGTCCACATGCTTGACGTGCTGTCTGTAACAATGCCTTGCGCTCTTCGCGCGTCAAAAGGAAGGTCTCGGCATTTGTTCCGAGCACGACAAGGCCTGCTAGACCGGTCTTAGACAGATAAGAGTAATATGCTGCTTGTGCCTCGGTGTCTAGTGTATCTGTCTCATGGTCGAAAAATGTGATTGCTGGTGCCCAGACGCCGCTTGGTGGAGCTTTATAGAAGGACATGATGACTGTCGAATCAACTTCACGAAATGGAGTTGGAGTGTTGTGTATTGCGTATAGTAAAAGCAAACTAGAAGGGCGTTTTTGGAAGATTACAAGTACTTAAAGCCTCTGGACTGTGGCTTAGATGGGATTTTGCCTCAATATCTTTCTTCCGTTTTTGCTCTGGCTTCTGGGGCCGACCATGATATGAATCAGTGATCTCCACCCGCGGATGAGAGACGCAGTAGTCACCAGTTTTCATTCGCCAGGTCGCCTGCAGACTCTTGAATAAGTGCAGTGGTCAGCAGATCATGCCCGTTTATCCAGATGCGACGCTGGATAATCAGCAACGGGAATGCGACATACACATGCTATGCCGTCTCGAGTCATGGGGCTAGGGAGCTGTAGCGGAAAACCGGACCATGAGGTGGTTGGGAATGTCGCTTTTCCGACAAGCGAGAGTGAGCATGGCCGATCCCCGCAAAGCGTTGGCCCAACGCGACGCTACTCCAACTGCACTTGACTCGGTCTGGGCCCGGTTTTACAAGGGAAAATACCCGAAGCCGAGTACTCGATTTGCCGAGAAAAGTATGAGGTTGCGGGCGGAAGCGCGTAAGATACGCGGGTGCTCTAGATTAGGTTGAATGCATGCAGAGACAAGGTAGTCGGTCATCCTGTATGGCCTTAGGACCGGAGATGTTTGCCCAAGTCCGACTAGCCATTTGGAAGATGCGAGTGACTACTTTTAGTTTTCGGAAGACCTCACTGAAGCGACAGAGAGTAAGGGAGTAGGAAAATGGTCTTCATCACTCCTTTACTGATGCAATGCTGGGCAATTGTGAAAAATGATTAAAGATCTTCGTACGAGTCTTGAACAACGCCAATTGCCACTAGATCACGTGAGAATTTATACCTTGAGGGTGTCTATTTGTATTGATGTCTTGTTCTATCTATGATACGTAGCTCCTAGCTCTTTCTGTGCATAATCGTAGCCGCAGCCTGGTGGTTGGGGAATATCAAGGTATCAGCAATGACTACATTCTCCCTTCTGCCAGCAGCAAATACAATCGCTTCAGCAATATCATCTGGTGTCAAAGGCTCACAGCCACTATCACTGGTTAGCTCATTGTTCAGAAAAAGTCTGGTGTTTGATGGGATTGAAGCCTCTTTTGACCTCATAACCTCATCAAAACAAAACCATCTGGAGAGGTGCAAACTTACGCATAGACTGCATCGGCCTTTTCTTTATTCCCGTAGAATCTGACTACTGAGAACTCGGTCTCCACTTGGCCAGGGTCGATTCTGATGACTCTGATGCGTTTTGAGATAAGCTCCTTTCTCAGACTCTCAGTGAACGAGTGGATGGCAGCCTTGGTCGCACAGTAAATGCTACCGCCAACGTAAGGCTCACGACCTGCGATAGAGCCAATGTTGATAATGTCACCAGCTCCTTCACCATCGTTACGCTTCAGCATAATAGGCAGGATAGCTTGTGTCATATTGATCAAGCCTGTGACGTTGGTAGCAAACATGACGTTGATGTCTTCTTCCTTGATCTCAGGAGCCTTATCAACGCCCTTGACAAGACCGCTGCAAGAAGAAGTCAGCTTATCACCTTTTCAATCTTTGCAGTAGAGAAACTTACGCATTGTTGACCAAGACATCGATCTCACTGAATTCTGCAGGAAGCTTGCTCACGAAAGAGCGCACCTCTTCAGGCTTGCTGACGTCCAGTTGGACGGGGTGCACTTTGACACCATCGCCAACTTCTTTGACAATATCTTCAGCGATTTGACGAAGACTATCAATTCGTCGCGCAGTCAAGACCAACTTCAGGCTCTTGGGGCTGGTGCGGGCGAACTCGAAGGCTGTGGCCTTGCCGATACCGGAAGACGCTCCGGTGA